GCGCTGAAGGGCTCACGCTATAGGGTGCTGGATGAGGACGGGTACGATGCACTAGCCCCAGCCGTCGGGGGGGTGTTGCCGGCGCTGGTAGATGATCTCTCGGAGAAGAGTCGGAGGGACCTTGGCGCCGGGGTTACGAGGAACTTGCAAGTCGTGGCCGAGGCGGCGACGGGAGCGGTGCAGAGGTGGATCCAGCTCAACGATGAGGCTACTGCGCGCATAATGAAGAGAGAGGAACACATTGAGTGGCTGAGGAAGCTCTTCGCTGGGTGGAAGGAGGCCCGGCCAGCCTTGAGGGAGTCGCGGAGGAGGAGGGATAACAGAGGTAACGAGGGGACAGGCCAACAGCCAGTGGGACGAACGAGGGACGCGACGGCGGCCCAAGCGGGAGGGAGCGGAGACAGTCGGCAGCGAGCGAAGTGGGTGAGACTGATGATGCTCCTTCGACTTAGGGAGCGGTTCAGCTGCTGGGCGGGCTTCAGGCTGGTGCTCACGCGAAAAGGAATCGACGCGATGTACAAAGCATACAACAAGAGGAGAAAGAAGAGGACGGACATCAGTGATGACGAAACAGAAGCTAGCGCAGACGAGGGCAGGGCAGACCCGGGGACGGCGGAGTCGGAGCAGACGGCATCGGCTGCCGAGGAAACGTTGGGAAGAGGCACGAGGAGGGCGGCGACCTCAACCGACTATGGAGGACCCGTCACCAGACGACGCAGGGCGGACGACGGGGAGGCGGAGCAGACGCGCAGGGCGAGACGAGGGAGGGAGCAGGATGTTGCGGAGATCAGCAGGAGGATGTACGACGAGATTAGGAGCAGCAGGGACCCGAGGGACCATGTGGAAGACGGCTAGTGCTAGTCCCCCATCGGGAGGACGACCCCGGCTAGTCGCCGACCACACCCACAAAGAACCCTGCACAAAGACCGCAGGGCGGGGACCTGTTCCTTTTTACCCATCTCCTAGTAGAGGTGTCCGTTTTATTTATTTATTTATTTACCCGCGACGCTACAGCCTACACCTGCACCTCCATGCACTCCACACACTTCTACTCACCCTCTGACATGCTTCGTCTCGTCGGAGACGTGCACGCAGCGCTGCAGCAGCGCCGCCGTCTCGTCCTCGGGCCGCTCGAGGTCCATGACGACGTTGGTCGAGGCGTGGAACTGCGTCTCGAGGTCGACCGCCGCCTGCTCGGCCGCGGCGAGCTTGCCCTGGTCGACGCACATGCCGCAGACGGCATGTGCGGGGCAGCCGCACTGGCCGAGCTGCGGGCGCACGGTCTTGGCGACCGCCGGCGCCGCGCGCCGGTCGTGCTGAGCACGCTGCCGCCGGCGCTGGTCGCGCGCCTGCTGATCGCGCTTGCACGCAGCGGCTCTCCTGCTCGTTTCGCTCGCACCCGAGCGGCTGTCGCCAGGCGCTTCAGTCAGGTCGGCGGTGCTGCGCGCGGCCGTCGGCTCGGCACAGCCACATGTCCTCCTCCTCGGCAGGCTCGCACGGCTCGCCGTCGAACTGCGGCCGGGGCCCTCGACGACGCTTCGGCCTTCGCCCAGGCCGGGCACGATGGTGCCGCGACGAGCGGCGTCGAGGCGACGGCCATCGATGGGTCCAGAAGACTTGGCGAGACGTCGGAGGAAAAAACCGAGCACAACTGCGTTACATGGGCATGGCCGGGGTTTCTGCACCGAACGATCTTACTTTCGGTCTATCGAAAGTGTTGATCGATAAAACAAAGAAATTCGGACGCCCAACTTGAGCGCGCCTGCCTCCCGCTTCTCGCCTCTGCTGCGCGCTCGTCCGGGATGCTGGACAGCCTCGACGCCCAAGCAGCGAGGCTTTGGCCGGAATGGCCCGTTCGATGTTCTGAGCACGAGCCGGACCAGTGCTGGCCGTCTCCGCCTCCAGCACGACTGCGCCCGCCACGGCCGACAGCAGACCACGCCACCGGCCACAGAAATGGCCCGTCGGCGGACGCTGTCTGCTCGCGCCGTGCCGTGTCAACCACCGGGCGGCAGCGTAGCGTTGCCACGCGGTCTCGGCCACCGCTTGGCGTGGCGACAGCTGCCGGCATCGTGGCGGAGGCATGGGCGGCTGCGGAGGCGATGGTGCCCT